CCCGAACCTCTCACTGGGTATCATTCTACAGAATGTTTTGTTCAATCACTAGGGTTTAAGTCGTCAAGTGTGTTGTTCGACTGTCTGAAGTGTTGGCTATCTGGGATACATGGCTTCTTAGTGATATCCATCGAATGGCCATTGAGGCGTTTGTAGAATGTCTGCTTTGAATCACCAAAATATTGGAGACCACAAACTGAACATTATGAAATGTATATCACATTCAATTTTTTGCAGAATTTCTTTAATTCTTTTTTGGTGGAAAATAACTGATGATAATGATGCATCTTCAGGCATCTTCAGGCAACGGGCTGTCACAACACAAGCTGCATTCTCCATAATTAATACTTGTACTCAGTTTAGACACTTCAACCTGCACTAACAAATTCCTCAGACTATGTGGTTGCGTAAGAGCTATCAAATGAGGTGCGGAAAAGATCTTGATAGCTTGGTATTATTTTCAACTGATTTCCAAATGTTTGAAATGAGAACGTAACAGTCAATACAAAACAATGAAATTAATAAAATAAATTATACAAGGTAAAAAATTGATCTTCAATGAAAGATATAACAGTGTAAAAATGAGGCAAAAGATACCAAATTGATATTCAAACTTATAAGTTGAAAAAGAACTAACAATGCAATTACAAAAAATGAAAAACGACCAAAAGACAAACCCCAGTATAATTAACAAAACATAGAAAACTAAAAGCAGAACAACATTAACACCTTTAAAACCGAAAAGAGGACTGGGGAGCGTCGTTACGACATCTGGAACATATCTGTCGTCATCTATGAAACAGATACTCCATTACGGTCAACAAACTAGTGATGACGTCAATAAAATATTAGAAGGGATGATTTCAAAATCACCACTCTTGGAACTCTTGGTTCAATAGCTTTCTTGTAAGCAGCAACCCTCTATCAACGAAATCATTAAAGGAAGTGCAAAATCTAAAATATCGTAATAACTGAGTTATGCAGGCGCTTCTTGAGTCTTGCTATATAGAAATTAAATGCTCACAATTGGGGAACTGAAATCATCTCTTTTGTCATCAAGTTTTGTTCTCAACCGAACCTGATTGTGTCAATTTCTAGACCTGTCGGAATTTTGGGGGCTCAATGCTTTTCAACTTCGTACTTTAGTTGGCCTTTTTTCCCTTGTTTGATTCCAACGTCACTGATGAGTATTTTGTAGACGAAACGCGCGTCTGGCGTATAAAATTTTAATCCTGGTATCTATGATGAGTTTATTTACAAATTTTCACATGTTTCAGATGACAAAAACATTTCAGGTATCTGTTTTCTATAACGATTTGGGTCTTCTTATATTTATCAGTTAATAGAAAGAAAATTAAGATCCATAATAATCATTTGAAAACATTATACTAACATTGACTTATAAAATGAAAGTACTGAATGATACGTTTAACCTTATCTAAAAAAATAACGTTTCGTAAATAAAGAGCAAATATTGACCGGGTTTACAATATTAAATAATAATTAGTCGATTTTCAGCACAAATAAGAGATGGCATTTATGGTCATAACAATGATGTTTTTTTTTAATTACTATATGATATGATTAATATGTATAATGTGTGACTCTTAATAATCATATTGAAAAAATAACTCCAGAAGCTAAATACACAAGTATTGAATTAACAAACATATGCTAACTATAGGTTCCACTTCTGTAAATATAGACAATACAATTTCCCATAGAAAGTCCTTTTACGACTAAAACTGTGCCACTTTTACTATGAAGTTTCGTAAAAAATTATATCCTAGAATGGAAAGTTCAAATGCACTACTATTTTTTTCAAAGGTAAAAACATAGGGCTGAGCGGCATATTTTCAACATTTATATGCACCGAACTTCTAAAAGTTTTAACTTATACTAAAATTCTGTACTACCCCTCCCTTCACGTTGGATCTTCCTCGGAATTCACAATTTGGCCGCTATCCATGTGTATTTATACTGGTAACATTCCTAAGTTATGTCTTTGTGAGATTAAAAATAGAGATCATATCTGGGAACCAGTATGTAAACAACACAAAATATCTAGGAATATTATACAGCTCCCCAAAAGAGGCGTGGTTTGTGAAACAGCTGTATTTACAAAGTGAAACCTATATGCTTTTTCCGGACTGTCTGTTGGACATCCGCCAGTGTGTAATTGATATTGCACTGATATTTTAGTCTTTATATATGAAGTGGACAATTGGTCAGAATCAGATTATAAATCAAATTGAGATTAGTCAGGTTTTTACTAATTGATGACACACTTAAACTGAATTTCGTGCGTTCGAAACGCTTTTCTTGATTTACCATCACCAGAAATGTGTAAAGACGCAGAACCTTAACAGAATGGCGAAATTAATCTAAGATCAACTTTGTCTTAGGAAATTTGAACCTTAGTTTATCAATAATTTCTTAATCAATCATCGGGACATTTTAAACCAAGTATGTTTTATATCATGACATTACTGAAGCACTGACTACAGGGCTGATGATACCCTAGGTGACTAACAGTCTATCAGCAGCTGTATCGACCCAATGAAATAACAACGTTATAAATGTTTTGGGTCCGAAGCGCTTTTATGAATTTACCTTCACCATGAACGCTCAAAGCTAAACATTTGAAAGCTTTGGGTGCGTAAGTACGTAGAAAATGATCAGAATCGCAAAATACATCTACGGTTGACTTTTCCTAAGGGATATTGGAACCTTAGTATCTAAATAATTTCTTCATTTATCAACGGTGAGTTTAAATTAAATATGTTATGAACATTTCGGTACCGAAATAAGTAGCCGGTAACTAAAACAGAATACTGCATGAAAAGGAAAAACAAGAATCGTTCAAAATACCGCACAGTACGACATATCACATCATCAAACAACAACCAACGAATCCGGATAAAACCGACAGAAAAACAAGAACAACGAAAAACAGACAACACATGGTCTAGAAGTATATTTTGAGGATACAAATATAAAAATTATGTATTGTTCCAAAAATTAAGAACAAAACACATCCATTAATTGATAAATAAAATAGGTAGGAATCACATCAAATGCAAAACACAAGAGAGTGCAGCATAGCAGTTGAAAATCACGTAAAAATGGCAACTACGATAAATCAAGCTGTGATACAGTTGTGTTTGTGTTATTAGTTTTGCATGGCAGAATAAATCGAAAGTAAACAAAAACCACTGACCTACATACTTGTGTAAAGATATTTATTAAAATTATAAAGTTTGACTTTCAATTAAGAATTGTAAAAGATAAAGGAAACATAATCCGAAATTTAAACACTGTCGATCGGTTAAAAAAATGGAAAGAGTGGTGTGATTGCAAATGAGACAATTATAAAATTTTCAATTGTTGATCGGATGTGTTTCTAAAATCAATTTTAAAGACAAAACAGAAAGTAAATATGAATTGTGTTTTAAGGATCTTACAGAAAAGCAGCCAAGTTTAATACTGTATACGTCAGATGGTCATTTAAAATTTCAAATGCATATTTTTTTTAATCACGATAAATTTTACGAAAAAATGGAGGACATAGAAGTTTCTAATTAAATCACTACATATAGAAAATATTGATCCCCTCTAACCAATTGGTATTTTTACAAAACCGGTCCTCAAGCTGATCGGATTTAAAAAAAGAAATTTATTTACTAAATTGTTTAAAATTTACTTCATTTAGAAATACAACATCAGCATGTTCTTGCAGCAATGCACCAGGGAGTTTGGCAAGTCTGCCCGCTTGATTTCCATGTATAAACAGTAAATTTGCATTGAAAGTCAGAAAAGAATCAGCTGCATCTTCGCCATCACTTATTTTTGGTTTATTGTACTGTGGACAATCGTTAATTACACAGAACACCAAATTAATCGAACACATAAATACAAAAAGTATGGTTTGCATTTTTATCAAAGTTCTGAAAAACACCGAAATAATTAAAATTCCATTACGCAGGGTAGAGAACACATTGTACGTTGAAGTAAATAGTAATTTTGGTTCATGAATCAAATTTTTTCAACAATTATATTGATAAACATAACATATTTTTTTTGTAAAAGGAAAAAAAGGCAATTCTTATATTGTGTGTTTTGAGACATTAATTACAATTTAACAAAAAATTAATATACTAAGTTTGTGTCTTTATTTTGAAAATCAGGGCGTATACATTAGATTCTGAAACGCTGAATAATTATTCCTATTTCCTATATAATTGCGTTGACTCCTCACTTATTCTCCAATTCCTACTAAATAAATCTAACAATAACACCATAATATACAATAAAAGTTTTGATAAAATATAAGTTTAACAATCTTGAAAACAAAAAATATCAAATTCTTTTAAAATGAGAAACATTATCCAATAACAAACAAGTTCCTTACCTATAATTTTCTGACTGAGAAACTTTTAAGAAGATGAGGCTCGTTTAAATTTTTACAAAGATTGCCTTGTGTTATATAGTCGAGCGGAATATCGATAGAAAAAATACACTCAGCCAAATGCTGCTTCGACAATCCTTAGTTTTCAGTAATCAAGCTTAAAAATAAAACAATGAAAACGTTTATAAATTTGATTTTGTAAATGCAAATGAGTAACATATTGTGTTCAAGGACCTAGGGCTTCAGAGTTTTTTGGGAGATTTTATCCATGATTCCCTTTCTTGCAATTAATTTTAAATACAGTTGCGTGTGAGTTGTTATCTAGCTTTGCGCTTTTAACTCATGATTGCTTGATTACATGCATTGAAATAAAAACTGAATCATATAAACTTAACGTAGCAAATCACTATGTGTATGTTAATTTTTTTAGGCTTATAATAAATACAAAACACAGCTGCCGGCTATATCTTTTTTGCAGTATATCTACAGAAATATGCATGTGGATAATGATTCAAATTCAAGTCCGTTTTACCATTTCGAGAAAAGTATCTTTATATCTATAATAATAAGCATCTTTCTATTCACCATGCACTCAAACATGCACAACAGGTTCGCCACTATGCACACCATATCCGCTACCATGTTCAACGCGATCTTCGCCACCATGATTGCCACGGTGATTTCCACCATGATTGCCACCATGATTGCCACGATGCTCACCATATCCACTACCATGTTCAACATTATCTCCGCCACTATGATTGCCACCATGATCGCAACCATGATTGCCACAATGATTGCCACCATGCTCACCATATCCACCACCATATCCAAGGTAATATCCACCACCATTATTGCCACCATGCACTGCAACATAATTGCCACCATGATTGCCACCATGCACTGCAACATGATTGCCACCATGATCGCCACCATGATTGCCACCATGCTCACCATATTTGCTACCATATCCATTGTAATCTCCACGACCATGATTACCATCATTCACTGCTACATGATTGTCACCATGATTGCCACCATGATCGCCACCATGATTTCCACCATGCTCACTATCTCTACCACCATGATTGCCACCATTCACTCGACCATAAGTGCCACTATGCACACCATATCCGCTACCATCATGACCATATGCAACGTCATCTCCGCCACCATGATTGCCACCATGCTCACTATCTCTACCACCATGATTGCCACCATTCACTCGACCATAAGTGCCACTATGCACACCATATTCGCTACCATCATGACCATATGCAACGTCATCTCCGCCACCATGATTGCCACCATGCACGACATATGCACAACCGTTACCATGACATGCTAAATGTGCATTTGTGCACAAGGCTGACAAAAGGAAAAGCAGAGCAAAGACGTGCTTCATTTTTAGCTAAAAGTATTATAAAGATGATAAATGAAAGTGAAATACAGGCAGCAGTTAATTATGACATTTTCCCAGAATCTAGAATACTTTTGTTATATAAACTGTAGTGTACATTAAATTAATTATTTGTTTATTTGTCAATGTGTGGTCGGTCCATTTTACTGCCTCACGGGTATCATGTTTCTGAAGGGAGTGTTAACGCATAATGTAACTGTTAATAAATTAAAAATGTTAAAAAAAGAGATAGGGTCAAAGCCGCTAATAGTCTTTAATCTTTACTTGAATTCATAGTATCACAGCTCAAAAAGTGTACCTTGAGTAACTAACAATATATCAATCAGATCAACAAATTATAAACGCCTAAAAATAGCCAAAAAATCATAAAAATTTAGCATTGAATAACATTTTGAATTTGTGGATTTATGTAAAATTATAAATCAATATTTTTAGTGTATGATATAGACTCCTTTTTATTCAAATTCAAGTAAGATTTTAAAACTTTTTTTTTGTACTTGTTAGTTCCCCCCCCCCCCCCCCCCTAAAAAAAAAACAAACAAAAAACAAAAGGTTCCGTTCTTTGGTCTACACTATTATCCAGAGATAGTGCTTAGGCCACCCTTGAAAAATTCTTTGTTTGATGTTGCCTATCCATGCCTTGTAGGGTTGGGTAGGTAGGTAGGGATTTTATCTTTTATTCGCCAACAACATAAGTTACATGTTTGAGACAAGAAAACGACGTTAAAGCAGGAAAAGATCTTTTAACAAAAAAATTGAACCAATTTGTATCATAAAATTTTTAGGGTAGACTGCTTTTAAAGTGCGTAAGTAGGCAACATCCAACAATCTTAATTTTATTTTTCGCCTTAAAAATCGTTTACCAATGGTTGATTTCCAGTAAGACCGATTAGTGCACCGTACTCCTCCCTTCTTGTACTTAATGATCGCCATCATTTGGGAATTTAAAAGGCTGTTAATTTTGCAAACATCTCTGTACAGTAAGAAAACTGTGCAAGGATACTGTTTTCACTTTCTCGTAAATATCGTCAAAAAGCTATATTTCATGAATAAAGGCATTGAATACATCACATTCTTCGAACATTATCAACAAAATACAAAAACCAGGTTGTATAATGCTCGCATACAGCGTGAAATTCTCTTTTTGATGTGAACATCGTAAAAATAGAACATGATAAAGTTTGCACTTCATCTATTTAGGGATACAGTTTGCATCTAAAATGTTCTATGTGTATAATTCAATGTGTTTGTGCTGTTAAACTTACACATGGCAAGTTTATATAAGTATCTACTCATGATTTTTATACATAAAAGCACTGTGTACAATTTTGTCCGAAATGCAAATATAATTGGAAAATTCGAGATACAACAAGGTAAGGTAATTCTCATGTCTGTTGACATCTGCACATATGAACTGTGAAAAATTTGGTTATATCTTTAGAGCAGTTCATTGAAGTATGTATGTCTTTAAGTTTTGTCAATTTTCTGGCTATTTTTGTCATTTTAATTCGGTAATTACAATGTCCCACTTCCTTAAATGCCAATCATAACAAATTATATTGACCTAATTACTAATCATCCTCAGTCTTACATAATTAAACAGACCATTCGTTATACATCTCAATTCACAAATATTTGACCTCGTTATTGAAGACATACATTTATTTATATATATAGAAATGATAGATTTATTCATTACCTTTTACTTTTGGTTTACATTTGAATTTATTGTCTTAAAAAATGCACTACGAAATAACTGTGTGATCGGGCCAGATGTATCTTCATTTCAGGCAAAACTGTATCCAGTGTTTTTTTAGTCGATTCCTGTGTAAACTTGCTGTGTGTAAGTATAGGGCACAAACACATTGAATTAAGTTAAACATAGAACCTTTTAGGTGCAATCTGTATCCTTTAATAGATGAAGTGCAAACTGTATCATGTTCTGGTTTTCACGATGTTCACATCAAAAAGTGCATTTCACGCTGCATGAGTAGAGAGGAGTATGGTTCACTAATCGGTTTTTCGGAGGAGTGAGTATAATTAAGTTGTATAAAAATAAGGAGATGTGGTATGATTGCCAATGAGACAAATATCCAACCAGGTTCAAATGAAGTGGATGTAAGCAATTATAGGCAACCGTACGGCCTTCAACAATGATAAAAACCCATACCCTATAGTCGGCTATAAAAGGCCCCAACATGTAAAATATGAAACAATTCAATTGAGAAAAGTAAAGTCCTAATTTATAATAAAACAATGTACGAAAAACAAATATGACAGACATGAACCAACGACAATCACTGTACTGGCGCCTGACTTGGGACAGGCACATAAAGAATGTGGCTGGGTTAAACATGTTTGTGAGCGCTCAATCTTCCCCTAACCTGGTACAGTGGTGTAACAGCACAACATAAGAACAAATGATAAAAATCAGTTGAAAAAGGCTTAACTCATCAGATCGATACAAAGAAGAAAAATATCAGACAAAAACACAGACCAGGCGTGGCAGGGTATTTATCCATCCCTCAGCGATAACAACAAAAAAAGACCTCAAGTACAGATCTGAGAGTACTCACAGTTACTGACAGCTAGTTCAAAGCCAATAACAACTAATGAAAAAATTCATGTATCTATATATAGCTAGGACTGAAATATCAGTCCACATCCAACATCCAATGGATTTAGTGTAAAGACGTCATTAACAATCAGAGAAAAACATGACCTTGTACATGTGCAATGCCAAAATAAAGGTATCGACAGATTGTAGTACAGTGGAAATGCAAATGTGTATAACAAGAATATTTAGTATGGTGTTAGTTTACAGATAACGAAATCAATATTTATACCAATTAAAACAACATTCAAAGATGTAATTACAGTGTTGAATTGGTAACCTTTTAGAATAAGTTTATTTAAAAGATTGACAAGTTTATCCGGATCGTATCTAAATTTTCGGGCTTGTATAACAACATCACCATACAATTTAGGATGTGCTTTTCCGTTTGAAATAAGTTTTCTACAGGTACAGCCAAACTTGCAAACCAAATGTTTGAATCTATGGAAGAATTTAGTAAAGGTTTAAAGTAATTTGTGGTAACGAAATCCCTGACTTAATTATTTACTAGTTATACATAGACAAAGATTATTGAAATCCAAAACATCACTACAGACACTGGCAAAGCGAACGAGTGGGGATATATAAACACCGTAAGACGGTACCAAAGGAACATCACCGTCCAAAAACGGAAAATTAACAATAGGGAAAGAAAACTCATCCCTTTTGTCGTAAATTTTTGAGTAGAGTTTCTGGTGTAACACTGAAATATTTCAATCTAGGAAAGGACAGTTATTGCTGCTAATATTTGATTTATTTAAAGTAAGTTCTTTTGGGTAAATTTCAGCAGTATATTTAGAGAATTATTGATTATTTAACGAAAAAACATCATCAAGATAACGGTAAGTGTTGTTGAATTCATCAATTAAATGGAATTTAGATGGTTCTTTACTGAATTTGGCCATAAACTGTGATTCATAACAGTATAAGAACAAGTATGCTATTACAGGGACACAATTGATGCCCATCGGAATACCTACAACCTGTCGATAAACTTTATTGCCGAAACGTACATTAATGTTGTCAAGGAAGAAATTTACGGCTTTAATCATCTCATCACACCTCCAGTAGGTATATCTAGCATATTTACCTGTCTCATTTGAGAAAAAGGCTTTATATGAGTTGCAGCAAATAAATTTGCATTCAGATTTATCAAACGACCATTTAATAAAATAGGAAAACTTGTATTTGATAAGATTGTGTAGTATAAAGAGTTGAAAAGTCAAAACTGTCAATCGAATCAAAAGGACCATCATAGGCACGTAATTTATCTAAAACATCCAAAGAATTGTTTACACTCCAAATATGGTTAATTTCACTATTTTCATATGTTTTATTACAAATATTAATGATAAGTTTTTTTACCGTACTTAAGGAACTCGTTAAAAGCACCGAAAGATTAGTAGTAGAACACTTACTAGATGCAGAGATGAAATGATATTTTACAGTTTTTTGTGAAGTTAAGGTAACCAATAAATAATGGGGACCTTCAAATGTTCAGAGGAGGCCTTAAGCTGAGCTGTGGTAGTGACACGATTATTTACTATATGACTCTCTGTGGAGCGTACGGCCTTGAATGTAGTTGAATGTATAATTTCATTCTTAAGGACTTCCGTGTAGTATTTGCGTCATACCAACACAACATTGTCGGTACGAATACAAAACGCTTTGCGAGCACATGAATTTTGTTTTTAATCCTAGAAATAGCCATGGGCGTATTACTTATTCTTTATTTATTTCTAAATTATTTTTTGTGTTAACTTACCTTGAAGCGAGCCGTTTTCCAATAAAAAATAGAAACCTATCCTTGCGTGTGACGTAGTATCATGGCTGTGACTCATGGAGGTAGATGACAATTTTGGATTGGCAAAAAACTCGTATGTGTTCATCTCCGAAGATTTAATGCTAGAGAATTTTCATTTGGTATAAAATATACAAGGTTTTTAAATTAGTCACCGCGATATCACCGTGGACAATATGCAGAAATTGTATGATTTACAACATGGCAGTCGCCATCACCAGAATAGAAACAGAGTAATGTGCAAGTGCAACTGTTGCGAAAAAAATTAACAATTTTGGATTTATATCTATAATACACTTTTTAATCATAAATTAGAGTCGTCTCTGTATACAGTAAAGATAAGATAACTATAATGTTTTAGTCGATATTTGTCATATTGATAATTTCAATCTTTATAATAACTCATACGGCTAGAATTTTCCATGTGAAAACCATGCCAATTGTCAACTGAATGGCTCGTTATTTACCCTTTTATCTCAATATAAACTATAAGTATGATACAATGATGGTTCAACCATTTATTTCGGTGGCTTCATCCTTAAAAAACAACCAAGTACAAAGAAAATTACG